TTTATAATACCTCTCATGGCATTCTCACTCTGAACAACCCCAATAAAATGAATGCCTTCTCAGGTGTCATGATGCTACAACTTCTGGAAAGGGTAGCTGAATTGGAAAATTGGACAGAAGGAAAAGGCCTCATTGTCCATGATGCAAAAAATACTTTTTGCTCAGGATCTGATCTGAATGCTGTGAAAGCACTCTGCACTTCAGAGAATGGAGTGGCCTTATCTATGTTCATACAGAACACCTTAACAAGATTTATGAGACTACCATTGATAAGCATTGCTCTGGTTCAAGGCTGGGCAATGGGTGGAGGAGCAGAATTTACTACATCATGTGATTTCAGGTTAATGACTGTGGAGAGTGTGACCAGATTTGTCCACAAGGAGATGGGTATAGTTCCAAGCTGGGGTGGTGCCAGCCGGCTGGTTGAAATCATTGGCAGCAGACAAGCTCTCAAAATGTTAAGTGGGATCCTCACATTGGATTCCAAGAAAGCTTTAAACATGAGCTTTCTAATGAGGTCTCACAGTCTTCTGATGAGGCTAAGGCTCTAGAAGAGACACAGGAGAGGAGTGGCTAGAGCAATTCGTCAGTGGGCCTCCAGAAGTCGTTAGAGGGTTAAAAAAGTCTGTTTGTTCAGGCAGAGAGATGCATTTAGAGGAAGCATTGCAGAATGAAAGAGATGTTTTAGCAACACTGTGGGGTGGACCTGCAAACCTAGAGCCTATTGCTAAGAGAGGGAAACACACTAAATAGTTTTTAAAATATGGGTGTACTGCAAGTTGAAACTGCAATGAGAACATGGATGGAAGTGAAGTGATATTAAAAATGAGCAGCAGAATTCATTTGAAATTGACTGCTAATGCGCTTATGTGGTCTGGCTATTTTTCATATCTCAATTTGTTGGTTTTTCTTTTTTAACATTTGCTTAAATCTCTTCTACAAATTTCTACATTCCTACAGTAATTCTTATCCTAGAGCCAAAGATCAATTTTCAAACAAAATCTATTCTTTGGCTTATCTTTTGTAATATACTTATTAATTTAAATTTTAAGGCAGGGTCTTAAACTTACTATGTAGCCAAGGATAGTCTTGAATTTCTAATCCACCTGCCATCATCTCCAAAATGCTGGTATATACTATTACATCTGGCCATTTTGTTCTTTCTTTTTTTTTTTTTTTTTTTTTTTTTTTTTTTGGTTTTTCGAGACAGGGTTTCTCTGTGGCTTTGGAGGCTGTCCTGGAACTCACTTGGTAGTCCAGGCTGGTCTCGAACTCACAGAGATCCGCCTGCCTCTGCCTCCCGAGTGCTGGGATTAAAGGTGTGCACCACCAACGCCCGGCTTGTTGATGGGGTTTTATAATTGAAACTATTAAGGATTTGTGAAGCATCATTAAACATTTTCATTAAAAAATAAAATGAAAACGCTGGGTGTTGGTGGTGCACACCTTTAATCCCAGCACTTGGGAAGCAGAGGCAGGCGGATCTCTGTGAGTTTGAGGACAGCCTGGTCTACAGAGCGAGTTCCAGAACAGCCTCCAAAACAATACAGAGAAACCCTGTCTCGAAAAACCAAAAAAAAAAAAAAAAAAAAAAAAAGTAAACTAGATATTATGTGCACCCACCATTATAACACTCTGCAACCACAGACAGAAGGATCCCTGGGACTTGATGACCAGCCAGTCTAGCTGAATTTGTGAGCTCTGGGAGAGAGAAGACTGCTTCAAAAAACTAAGGTGGAGATCAACTGAGAAAAGCATTGAGTATTAACCGAAAGCCTCTGCACACGCACATTCATACACACAAAAGCTCATACAGGCGCAGGATAGAAAAGTAGAAAGTAACAGAGACCAGGGTAGCTCAGGCCTTCATTCCAGACTTGAGAGGCAAAGGCAGACAGATCCCTGTGAGTTCAAAACCAGCCTGGTCTACATAGAGAAATCCTGTCTCAAAGACATAAAAAAAATGGAATGTATTCATGAGCTTATCAGCTCACAGTGGCTGACTTCCTCTGTTCCTTCCTAGGCTGGATTTCCTCCTGCTGAAAAGATAAGTGATGTTTCTTCGGTAAAGGTCTCTTAGTGGGCAGTTTTATTTTGGGGGTTGTTTGGTTGGTTGTTGGTATAATTAGCCCTGGCTGGCTTCCAACTCCATATGTACTGCAAGTTATTTATATATTCGTTTATTTTTGAGATGAGGTCTCCCTGGGACTCAGGGCTGGGCCTGAACTCAATCTGTCGCTGCAATCTGTCGCTGCCTTCCGAGTCGCTGGGGTCACAGACCTAATCATCTCCTCCTTTGTTGCTTAATTTTGAAATATTTGTTGTCTTTATTAATCCCAGCACTTGGGAGGCAGCAACATGAGTTCCAGGGTGGCCTGTCTACAGAGCCAGTTTCAAGACAGTCAAGGAGAACCTGTCTCAGAAAAACACAAAGAAATTTTTATTTATTTAGTTGCTCATTTATTTATTTACTTATTTAAATTTTTTTTTTTTTTTGGTTTTTCGAGACAGGGTTTCTCTGTGGCTTTGGAGGCTGTCCTGGAACTAGCTCTTGTAGACCAGGCTGGCCTAGAACTCACAGAGATCCACCTGCCTCTGCCTCCCAAGTGCTGGGATTAAAGGTGTGCGCCACCAACGCCCGGCACTTATTTAAATTTTTGAGACAGGGTTTCTCTGTATTGCTTTGGACGCTGTCCTGGAACTCGCTCTGTAGACCAGGATGGTCTTGAACTCACAGAGATCCCCCTGCCTCTGCCTCCCAAGTGCTAAAGGCGTGTGCCACCCCACCTCCAGGCTTATTTATTTATTTACTCATCTATATATCTATTCATTCGTGGAGGGTGGGCAGGGCTGGGGGAGATGCCATGGTGTGCGTGTGGCAGTGAGAGAGCAATGTTCATTCCTGCAGTGAGGTCCCAGGATTGAAGTCAGTGTTCCGTTGTGTGGCGGGCAAGTGTTTTTCTCCACCTGCTGAGCCATCTCATCTACTCTGGTCTCCTTTAAAGCTAGCTGAGCTGGCTTTGAACTCACAGATCTGCCTCGAGTTGGCCTTAAACTCACAGCGATCCACCTGCCTCTGCCTCTGCCTCTTGGGTGCTGGGATTAGAGACATGCACCATCACCACCCTGCCCTTCTTTTAATTCTTTATAAAGTATATCCGGCCGGGCATTGGTGGTGCACGCCTTTAATCCCAGCACTCGGGAGGCAGAGGTAGGTGGATCTCTGTGAGTTCGAGGCCAGGCTGGTCTACAGAGCGAGTTCCAGGACAGCCTCCAAAATAATACAGAGAAACCCTGTCTCGAAAAAATCCAAAAAAAAGAAAAAAGTATATCCGAGAATTGTATAAAAACCTTGCAAATGTAACCCTACCAGCTTACACACCCGCTAACTCTTCCTGGCTCATTGCTCTTCTCTGTGCCTATGAGTTCAAATTCCATGGGCCTGTAGAAGGAATAACCCCACATTATCTGTTTAGGAAATTTGTTTTCTTTAGAGTATTTAGTTTGCTTTCCTATAAAGTTTAATAATGCCTCGTACAATGTTTACTTGTCCTAAGTTTTTTTTCTTCGATATTCAGGACATGCTTATATTTAAAAATGATTCATTGTCTGATATTCAAATTAACAGGACTTCTATATCTTATATCTAGAGAACAGTTGCTTTTTAGTACAGGGCTTCCCATTGTCAGAGATGCCCCTGCAAGGGGTGGGGTTACGGGTGTCATGACGTCCCGTTTACGCAGTGCTGGGGACTGAACCCGTCATGATGCCCTGTTTATGCAGTACTGGGGACTGAACCCAGGGCTTTGTTCTACATTCCCCACATGAGAATTAAAAAAAATTGTTTTTGAGACAGAGTTTCACTATGTAGCAGACTGGCTTCCAATCTGCCTGACTTTGCCTCCCGAGTGCTGGGATTAAAAGCATGCACTACTAAGCCCCACAAAATATTTTATCTTTTAGAATTTATCTTCCAATCACTTGAGGTGAAGCCCAAGTAATTGTCTCCCATTCCCAAATAGTTAAGCCTTTAGTATCTTCCCAAAACTGCAACAACAAACAACACACACACACACACACACACACACACACCATAAAATAGGTTTGGTGGCACATGCCTGTCTGTAATCCCAGTAGCTTTGGAACCTGAGACAGGAGGATCCTGACTTCAAGGCTGCCTTATGAGACCATGTCTCAAAAATGAAAAAAGAAAACAGACCAGCAAGATGGCTTAGTGAGTAAAAGTGCTTGGTGTGAAAGCCCGATGGCCTGAGTTCAATTTCCAGAACCCAAGGTAGAAGGAAAGAATCAATTCCAGACCTCCACACACACTCTGTAGCACACTCATGCCTACACATACACATCACATGTAGATCCCCACATTTTTTATATATATTTATCATATATACAGGGTCCCGTATGATTACAGGCCAGAAGAGAGCACCAAATCTCATTACAGATGGTTGTGAGCCACCATGTGGTTGCTGGGAATTGAACTCAGGACCTCTGGAAGAGCATCTCTCCAGCCCAGATCCCCACATCTTTACTTTGATTTCTTACTGATTTTGTTGTCTTGGCTGTCAGCCCCTGGGGATTCCATTTGGTTTTATTTTTTTAATTTATCTGTTTTTATTTTGTTTTGTTTTTTGAGACAGGGTTTCTCTGTGTAGCTTTGTAGACCAGGCTGGCCCCGAACTTAGAGATCTGCCTGCCTCTGCCTCCCAAGTGCTGGAATCAAAGGTGTGCACCACCACCACTGCCCGGCTCCCTTGGTTTTAAAAGGAAATTTTAGGATTTGTTTCTCTAGAAAACAAAAGACCAAAAATCTTGCAGGCCACTTCTGCTACTTGAAAACTGAAAGACCTGACTTGGAGAAAAGGCTATGTGCTTACAAAATATAAATTGATATTTGCAGCACATGGGTAAAATGCTTGACTAGTGTCGGCTCCCAGGTGAGGTGTTCACTGTTAACATGCAAAGGCTTTTCTCCCTGTCCACAGCCACGCCGTCTGGGCTGGACCCAGTAGAAGCCAAAGCCTGTCCATGGAGGGGTGCTGGGAGATGGAGATGACCAATGGCTCAGAGAATGGCCTGGAATTCAACCCTATGAAGGATTACATGGTCCTGAGTGATGCCCAGAAGATAGCTGTGGCAGTGCTGTGTACCCTGCTGGGCCTGCTAAGTGCCCTGGAGAACATGGCGGTGCTGTATCTTATACTGTCTTCTCAGCGGCTCCGCAGGAAGCCCTCGTACCTGTTCATCAGCAGCTTGGCTGGCGCTGACTTCCTGGCCAGTGTGGTCTTTGCCTGCAACTTTGTCATTTTCCATGTCTTCCATGGTGTTGATTCCCAGACCGTCTTCCTGCTGAAGATTGGCAGTGTGACCATGACCTTCACAGCCTCTGTGGGCAGCCTGCTGCTGACTGCTGTTGATCGATACCTATGTCTGTGCTATCCACCTACCTACAAAGCTCTAGTCACCCGTGGGAGGGCACTGGTGGCCCTTTGTGTCATGTGGGTCCTCTCAGCATTTATCTCCTACCTGCCACTCATGGGATGGACTTGTTGTCCTAGGCACTGCTCGGAACTTTTCCCACTGATCCCCAATGACTATCTACTGGGCTGGCTCTTACTCATTGCCACTCTCTTTGCCGGAATCATCTACACCTACGGGTATGTTCTCTGGAAAGCCCACCAGCATGTAGCCAGCTTGGCAGAGCACCAGGATAGGCACGTGCCTGGGATAGCTCGGATGCGTCTAGATGTGAGGTTGGCCAAGACCCTGGGGCTGGTCTTGGCTGTTCTGCTTATCTGCTGGTTCCCTACATTGACTCTCATGGGCCATAGCCTAGTCACCACACTGAGTGACCAGGTCAAGGAGGCCTTTGCCTTCTGTTCCATGCTATGTCTGGTTAACTCTATGGTCAATCCTATCATTTATGCCCTGCGAAGTGGAGAGATCCGCTCAGCTGCCCAGCATTGCCTGGTAAGCTGGAAGAAGTATCTACAGGGCCTCGGGCCTGAGGGAAAAGAAGAAGCCCCAAGGTCCTCAATTACAGAGACAGAGGCTGAAGTGAAAACCACCCCAGAGCCTGGTTCCAGAAGTCCCGGCTGCTCCAATTGCTGACGACACCTATTTTCCTATTGGAAACAGCCTGGGCAAGAAATCAGGTCACTCCCTCGAGGAGAGAGGTGTCCCAGACCCTGAATCTTTCTGGAACCAGCTCTAGGGGACTGCACACAGACCTCTCTTTTGCCGAGGAATCCTGGGCTTCATGGCTGGAGGGTGGCCTGCTCATGCCTACCTGAGGAGTCTGTGGAGAGAGACCAGTGACAATGACAGGCTCTGTTCACAAGTCAGGAAACCCTCCTGACTCCAGCAACTGAGAAGCCAGAGGGGCCTCCAGGAACCATAGTAAAGGACTCCGGTCCAGGGTTGATCTGAAATGAAGGGCCTGTTCTCCTGGGATCACGGAGTACCTTGGCCAGTGTGGTCACTACCTGCAAATTCATCAGTGTGCATGTCTTCCATGGTGTGGGTACCAGGCTGTTGTGCTGATGGCTGGTTACAAGACCAGCTAGTTCTGGTCCTGCTTCATTGTTTGGGACTCCATGGCTGGCTGTAAGCTATGCGAGGCTCCGCCTTTCAGGACACCCTTGCCTCATGAGGGTCAAGAATGATGGTGTCCTGAAGACCAAGAGTGTTAACGCAGACAGGGTCATAACCATCAGCTCAGGGTACCTTGTTGGGCAAGGACCCTCATGACACCCTGATAAGCCTTGAAATCATTGTGACTTTAGGTTCTTGGGGGCCCAGAGGAGGCTGGGTTCACTGGAGGTACAGAGTCTTCCGGGAACCGTATTGACCTTGTGACATTCTGCTGTGTCTAGTGTAGTAGCACTAGACTAACTCCAGTAAAAAGCAAGATATTCACAGAGATTCCCTGGGTCCTAGATTGTTCCCAGAAATGCTCAACCCCATCTCCTTGCCTCTTCCACACTCTGGTACTGCAGGGATAAGCAAAAGGGGCTGGGGAGGGAAGACTTCCGCTATGGTTCTGGCACAGGCTGACATCCTGTGTCCGCAGCCTTGCTGTGTCCCTGCACACCTGAATTTTACCTTCAGTAAGGGGCATCCCCAATAGAGGGAGCTTCAAGACACTGCTGGTGGCAGGAAGGGTAACACTGGGGACCACAGACACAGTGAAAGCAAAGCTATCCATTATACACAGCATTTAATACTTACAAAGGGATGTGCTCCCTGTCCACTGCTCTTTCGTCTGCATCATAAATACGTTATGCCAGGCTGTGTGCGGTCCATGATATCCAGCCACGAAGGAGCCGGACCCTATCTAGGGCTTGTAGTCTACATTCTGATAAGAAGTGAGTCAGGGGGGCACTGGAGAGATGGCTCAGAGGTTAAGAGCACTGACTGCTCTCTTCCAGAGGTCTTGAGTTCAATTCCCAGCAACCACATGGTGGCTCACACAACCATCTACGATTCAATCTGGTGTATATGTAATAAATAAATAAATCTTTTAAAAAAAAAAAGAAGTGAGTCAGGGAGCTGAGCCCGGTGGCACGGGCCTGCTAATTCCAGCTCCTTAAGAGGCTGAGGCAAGAAGATCCTAAGTTCGAAGCCTGCCTGAGCTAGCTATACACGGAGTTCAAGTTAATTCAGGCAAATTGATGTCAAAATAAAAAATAAGTAAGTGAGCCGGGCATTGGTGGCGCACGCCTTTAATCCCAGCACTTGGGAGGCAGAGGCAGGCGGATCTTTGTGAGTTCGAGACCAGCCTGGTCTACAAGAACTAGTACCAGGACAGCCTCCAAAGCCACACAGAAACCCTGTCTCGAAAGACCAAAAAACCAAAAACAAAAAAAAAAAAAATAAGTAAGTGGTGCTGGGCGTTGGTGGTGCATGCCTTTAATCCCAGCACTCGGGAGGCAGAGGCAGGTGGATCTTTGTGAGTTCCAGGCCAACTTGGTCTACAAAAGCTAGTTCCAGGACAACCTCCAAAACAATACAGAGAAACCCTGTCTGGAAAAAAAAATAAGTAAGTGAAGGCTAGAGCAGGGCACAGGGGTGCACACATATAACCCTGGCGTTAGGTAGAATTGCTGAAAGCTTAGGCCAGCCTCCCCTAAGTGAGACATCTTTTTTTTTATGTGTAAGGGTGTTTTGCTGCATGTGTGACTGTGTAATACATGTGTGCCTAGTGCTCACAGAGACCAGAGGAGGGTATTAGATCCCTCAGAACTGGTGTTACCAAACCCTGATGAGCTGCCATGGGAGTGCTGGGTCCTCTGGAAGAACAGCCAGTGCTCTCAATCTCTAGCCATCTCTCAGGCCCTGAATCCAGCTCTTACACACTTTCTACTTCTGCTTTAAGCAGGGAGGCAGAGTTTATGAAGGGGGAGGTCAAGGCAAGGGCCCTAGGTAGAGATGAGAAACAGCCTTGTTGTTTAGATGATGATCCAGCCAGCAGACAAGACCTGCCCATTGCCCGAGAAACCAACGAGGGGGTGTCCAGTGCAAAAAAACCGCAGGCTCCCTAATAATTCAGCTCTGCCCATTCTGCTATAGACTCTCTCACACGCCTCTGCAAGATGACACTCTGGTTTTTCTGTTAGGTCGGATGAAGGTTATGGGGTCCCATTTTACTCTCCCCAAGACAAGATCTGTGCATCAGAAGTCATTGCAAGTTCTAATCAGTATTGAAAGGATCAGGGGGGAGAAGTTGATTTTTTTAAAATCCCCCGTGCTTAGTGTTTTAGACCATATTTCAACATTAACTTTGGAAGGAAGAAACAGAAAATACCCTGTTACCTTATTACTCCCCAAAAGAGGAAGCGCTTGGTCTGTTGGCATAAGCCCTGATTTTCTCCGAGGTGCTGGGTAGAGCAGGTGGAGAGGCAGTTCCCACTGCTGTGAATTCTGGGACCACCTTTGGTCTACACTGTTGTGATCTTGGCCATGCCTGCCCTCTCCTACCCTGGTTTCCTCGTGGTCAGTTGGGAAAGGTAGGGAAGAGGTTGCCATCAAGGAGCAGTAAAACCTCTTATTGCTCTGACATGTGGTGGTTGTCTCAGCAACCATGGAGACAGTTGTGCCACCAGACCACGTGACTTCTGGCTTGCATACTTCCTGCATCTATGGACACACAAACACACACACACACACACACACACACACACACACACACACACACACACTCACTCACTCACTCACTGGGCATGTGCTGACTGCAGAGGAACCAGGTGGCTTGGCAAACAAGTTTTGCAGACATTCCTGAGAAGAGAGGGTCTCTTGGCTCTCAATTTTCTGGTCCTGTTTATTCTAAACATTGTCCCTCAGTAGCCCTCTGTGGGCTTGTTTGGTGTTGCTGGACTGACCCCCAGGCCTTCCAACATGCTAAGCAAGTGCTCTACTCCTGAACTACTTCAGTTAGATGCTGAGCTCTCTGAGAGTCCCTCAGAGGCTTGGGGGTGCAAGGTCAATCAGTAGAGTTCTTCCTTTGCATGGGCAAATTATTCAGTACTGTTCAAATGCCAGTACTGCATAAAGCCAGGGGATGTGGAGCTACCCTGACCTGCAATCCTAGCACTGATGAGATAGAAACACCGGAAGTTCAAGGTCATCCTAGCTGTCATTTCCATAACAGCCTGAGCCACACGAGACCCCCCCATCTCAAAATAAATTTAAGTTACAATTTAAAATTAAATTAAAATGTTAGCTGGGCGTTGGTGGCTTACACCTCTAATCCCAGCACTCCGGAGGCAGAGGCAGGCGGATCTCTGTGAGTTTGAGGCCAGCCTGGTCTACAGAGTGAGTTCCAGGACAGGCTCCAAAACAATACAGAGAAACCCTGTCTGGAAAAACAAAAACAAAACAAAACAAAACAAAAATTTTAAATGTTTAAATACCTCAGAGTTCTCAAAGTCCAATGAACAAGAGACAAGTCAGAATAACCACGTCTGCCCTTTCTCTCAGAAGCTATCTCTCTTTCCTCATAAAGTTCCTTCTTATCGTGTTTCTACCTCGTTATTTCTAAAACTCTTTTCAACTCCGCATTTGGCTAAGCGCCACCTGCCGACTGGATGTACAGCACAAAGAAATAGTTGTTCTTAATTAACCACTAAATACAACAATTTGGATTCAGCCTTCTCCTGAGGACTGGTGTGATAATGTGGACTACTCCCTGTTCTCCGCACACCCTGGATCCCTCCTGCTTACGGGAACCCGGCAATTAAGTCCCTAGGGGGAGACTATGGAGTTTAAATTCAATAGATCACAGCTGTCAACGCCTCTTTACGTCCTCTCTTTCAACGCCAGAGGGCGCTCGCGGCCAGAGACCCCCGCAGGCACCCCAGACCCCAGGCGTGACCCCGCCCCTTTCTCTTCCGAGCCAATCGTTACTCAGAGAGGCGGAGCTACTGGCCGGCGCCTGCGCGTTAAGTAGGAAGGTGCAGGCACGGAAGCAGGGATGTGGGAACTAAAAGGTGAACGGCGGGCGGTGGGTTTAGCGCTGCTGCTGCTGCTGCTGAGTGCTGCGGCCCAGGCCCGGGCTCCGCGCCGCTACACCCCGAACTGGAAGAGCCTGGACTCTCGGCCACTGCCCAAATGGTTTGACGAGGCCAAGTTCGGAGTGTTTGTGCACTGGGGTGTGTTCTCGGTGCCCGCCTGGGGCAGCGAGTGGTTCTGGTGGCACTGGCAGGGCGAGCGGATACCGGCCTATGAGAACTTCATGAAAGAGAACTACCCGCCGGGCTTCAGCTACGCCGACTTCGGACCGCAGTTCACGGCGCGCTTCTTCCAGCCGGACCAGTGGGCCGAACTCTTCCAGGCTGCCGGGGCCAAGTGAGTGCGGACCGGGCGCGAGGCGGGACGGGGCAAGCCCACGGCCGGCGCTGCCTGACCTCGGAAGGCCCCGCACCCCGCGTTTTGCATCCTGGAGGATGGCGCACTGATGCTAAAGAAGACAATTCTGCTGGGGGTTGGTTTTAAAAATGAAGTCGGGAAAGCACTGGGTACTGCACCTGTGTGGAGAGAGGCTAGAGCCAGGCTACACCCGGTGTCTCTTCTACAAGGGCCAGAACACAGTCTGGACTCCAGTCAGTGACCCGGAGTTGTGGACCTAGACCTTAGGCTACCTGTGGCATCCGTGGAAGATTATAGAAAGAATCTGCCTGAGTTCCTTGTAGCCCTGTGTCTCTAAATGGAGAAGGAAGGATGGGAGTTTTGGGGTGCTCTGTTAGGGTTCTCACTTCCTTGTGGAGGGATGGGGTTGTTTGGGCAGAGCCCTCCAGAGGAAGGTCTGTTTTGAGAGCCCTATGCTAGTATTTGCCATTGTAAGCATGGTGGCGCACGCCTTTAATCCCAGCACTGGGGAGGCAGAGGCAGGCGGATCTCTGTGAGTACCAGAACCACCAGAGCTGTTACACAGAGAAACCCTATCTCAACTCCCCTCCCAAAAGTATTTGTCTTTACTTGTGTGGAGTACAAGGCCTGAGGAAACAGGAAACTGACTTGAAGCCATCTCTCATATCCATTACTTACAAATGAAAAAGGTTGGACTCCAGCCCTTTCCAAAGTCCCTGTTTTATGGATGAGGTAACTAAGCCAGAGAGAGGAAGGAGCCTGGTGTCCTAGACTGCACATATTGTGACCTGGAGATGCACCCAAGTCAGACCCAGAAGGACTAGTTACCTGCCTGTTTTAGGAGGCCCAAGAATGAGAAGGGCTTTTTTTTATGCTTCAAGACTGTTTAAAGGAGGAAAGAAATGTGTCACAGAAAGGAACGGATGAGCCTAAGATACTATGTGACCCTGAAGTTCAGGAGTCCCCACACCTCCTGTGATGAAATCACATGTTCATGTTATCTTTCTTCCTTTTTTTTTTTTGCCATAAAAGTAAGTGAATTGGTTATTTCAACATTT